TTAGGAAAGTGTACTAATTTAACTATCATATGGCGCGAACGATTTGAGTTACATTTCTATAAATTCTAGCTATTATAGACACATGTCTTAGCTATGATCCCTGTGAGCTTGAGTTTATTGAAGCGCAATTAGCTTAATTAATTAGCAAATATGTAGTTATATAATGACCTGAACAAGTATTAGTAATTATAATTGTTACCCAGCACGGTGTTTACGGCCAACGTATGTTGTGTGTAGTACTCGACGGTATAGCAAAGATATATCAATATACATATCGATTACAAATGATATAGTTTAGCATGTAAACAATAGCAAGTGTTAAAATTAGACAGCATGCATCGCTCTTGCTGGTGGTATGTGCGTATTGAGTGGCAATCTGTCGTATTAATTGTTGTGGGGGTTGGTCACCTGATTGTTTTATGTCTGAGGCGAGAAGTGTTATCGCATTATATATGCGGAGTATGTTGATAAATGCATAGGTGTGATAGGGAACATGAAAATATATGTACCACTCATCATAACTAAGACATTACTGTACCGCATGTAACCTTTTTCGTATAAAAAAACACAATGGCAAGATACATATATAGCTAGCTTAAAACTAACAAGTGATAAAACCTCTGAGCAAAGTAAGAAGATCCACTTAACGACCAAGTTTAATAAATAAAAACATACATTAAACAGCAGGCCTATGTGCGTGATTGCTCTAACTGGCCATTGCTCGCTTAAAACTACATTGTGCCCAGATTTATTGTTGCTTCCGATGTTAATATTGATACAAAAAATCCACACATGAAATTAGGGCTGTCATTGGTATCAAATTATTTCGATTCGATTATTGATATATATTTTTTCGATATTTCGATTCGATTCGATTTAATATGTAATACGTGGATACTATAATAAAACTCTAATTTCAACCCCTGCGTAACTACGAAAATATTGATACAGTGCCGTGAAAGTACAGTAAACTCGTGCATAACTTATTTGAGAATACATGTATAATTTGTATATTGTATTCTATTTCTACTTATGATAACTATGCATTTTATACATCACTGTGCTTAAATGCAACATGGGCGAAGTATATTTACCTGAATTCAACCAGATTGACCTGGCGTCGCGGCGATGGCGAAGCAGCAGACATGCTTTTCCGGTAGACAGATTTTATTATAGAGATCAGTGAGACAGGATACGCACCAGAGACAATAAAACACCACAGTTATTGATTGTCTCTGTATCACTGCTTTGTATGCATGCGCCCTGCACTACTTCCGATAATGGCAGCGCTCAGTCAAAAATGCTACCGATGCTCCGCTGGCTACATTTTAGCCACAAAAAGTAATAAACAACACTATTTTACCAGAAAAAGGATGTACCAACTCTTTATTGTGATATACTGTATCAGATCGCTATTTTTCGATGTATTTTGATATCGATATCGGATGCAAATGCATTGCGATTTATCGATGAGGTGGGTATCGATGACAGTCCTACATGAAATGATGAATGAATTATTTTTGTCTTTAGTATTGAGCTTTGGAATGTAAACTCCCTCATTTTGCTGTGGATTTGTATGTTTTGGCCTTTCTATCAACCAGGTTCCATTTTCAGGAAACCGAAAACACAGCGAGCGAAACGGGCGCTTGAAGGCCGGGCACCAAAGTTGGTGGAAAATACTAAATCTGTAATGCTTATACGTGGAGGCAATACAAGTGAACAAGTTACAAATAGTATGAAAGATCTGGTACGTATTTTTGTGACCAGGACAGTGTTTGTTCCATATTCATCTGTGTCAATATTATTCATTATATATTAAAGGAATAATATGGCCATTGATTATGCAATGTTGACAAATGCTAGAGTAACTGGCACCTTGTGTAGTTAATAAGTACATTACCTTATAGCCAAACGCGTATTAGGTTGTCTAATATCACTGCTGGTTACTAAGAAATGTCTAATTGAAATCCGCAGTCCAAGAAATGTTTACAGTTTACCGTTTCACTTTCAAATCGCTGCCAGCGAAGCGGGTGTGATACAGATTTATAGTGCACCGGACATTTTCGCACGCATGCTCGGCCGTACGCTGTGATTTCGTAAACACGGATGCTCGTGATAAGGACCTTTTTGTCAGGGCTGTCCATGTGCGTCCGTGATTAGT